CCAATGTTTAGGTTAGATTTCTTTTTGTTTCGACCGCAATTATTGATGCTCCCTCTGGTCGCGGTAAGCCAGACAGAATGTTGCTAGGCAGGCTATGTTTAGGGCACCTTTTCTAGCCCCCTCCCCATTTGGGGTGAGCAGAGTGGATCCTTGAGGGCTGCTCAGTCACAGCTACAGCTGCCGGGATGCACTCCTGCCTAATCCGAGTGCATGACGACCTTCTAATAGCTGTCGTCTTGGTGCTGGGTTGTGACTGGGAGCTTCTAGCTGCATAGGCCTGCCCCGCTCACCACTTGCCAATCGCCCAAGGGCTTTGGGTGTGTCGTGTGGTGGTGCGATGGCACAGTTCCCCTGGAGGGTGCCAGTGCGTGAATTAATTTACGTGCAGTGTCTGTTGCACACCAGTTACCGCACAGGGCTTAACCAGCTACCAAGCCTGGGTCCAATGGCGAGGCAGAAATCCAAGACGATCGGAAGGCTTGTCCTGAAGCACCAGACATCCAGTGGCTCCGCCGCCATATGCCGCTGGCCATCTGGACCGTAGCTCATTCGCCCCACCGAGGTGGGCCGTTGGCCACTTGGTATCCACCCGGGATTTTATCAGGGTTTACTCCCTTAGCCTAAGTGGCTAACCAGAGCCCCGTTAGCCAGCGCGTTTCCAGGTGAGTCCAGACAGGCCTTCTTGGTTAGTGAAGCGGCCCAGGTGGTCGAACCGCCGGCCATACTTCGCCCTGTCTGGCAATCTTGTACTTTACCTGTTACCACCTCCCACGACGTGGACGAGTTTGTAACTAAACCCGGGGTTTTAGTTACAAACTCATCCTAAAATAATGCAGTGCAGCCACCGAACTTGACATAAATGCTCTACAGTTCTGAAGTGCTACAATTACACATTAAAATGTAACTATCGATACACGGGTAAGGATCAAAGTAACAAATCACATTTGCAAATGTGGTTGTATCCAAGTGCTACAATTACACGTTAAAATGTTACTATCGATACACGGGTAAGGATCAAAGTAACAAATCACATTTGCAAATGTGGTTGTATCCAAGTGCTACAATTACACATTAAAATGTAACTATCGATACACGGGTAAGGATCAAAGTAACAAATCACATTTGAAAATGTGGTTGTATCCAGCAATAATTTTCTGCTTCAGGTTTGTAACGAGGTGCAAGTTTTAATCGAGTGATATTAGCAATGATATTAGCCCACGGCAATTACACCGACCACTATGCTACTGCTCCACCCACAAGCACAGAGGCTTAGGGATATAAATACAAACTGTACTATAGATACCACTGTGTCACAGTTACCAATCGAAAACACAACGGCAGACTGCCATGCATGCAAATTCAATCCCCATTTGACGAGGGTCAGAAGCAAAGTGGAATGCAAAATGTTGTACATCATATCTGGTGTTATTGTCATTATCAAGGTCACTGCCTTGGCTCATGTCATTGCATACTGAGCAGATACTTGTAAATTGTTGATAGGGTATCTTACCAACAGCAAGAATTCCTTTGGGCACCTGCTGGATGGAACATTCACAGTGAATATTGTAGGGCGAGGGGTGGGAGTGTGGTGGCTGGGTGTGGGGAGTGGCGGTGCAGTGGTTAGCGCGTTGCCCGACGAACTCGGCAACTCGAGTTCGATTGCCGCTCGCGGTCAACACCAGTGGCGATTATCTGAACTGGTCATCGGCATACCCTCAAACGAGCACCTGGTATTGTGTGTAATTATTATTTTTCTGACCAAAGCACCCTCAAAGCACCCAATTACATCAGATATCGAGAGCCAAGCAGAGTTATTAGTCGGATGGATGAACTCCAGGCCTTACCAGGTATTGTAGTTTTGAGGCTGTGAAGTGATGGTCAGGTGACGGCAGCGCTGAGTGTTACTCCCTCATACGTGTAGGTTTTTTTTTTCAATCACTCATCAATGGACTCGGCTGAACGCTCCCAGCACGAGACCCTCCTAAAAAAGTCTTAATAAATAACTGTTGTTGTTTAATATTCGTATTGTTATTGTTCACAATGCACAGAGGAAATGAATATTTATTTAACGTTATTATGCCTACATAGCCTGAGCTCTGAATGTAAATTATCAAGAAAGTAACCATTGTCCATATGTCTGGAAAATAACGTATTTGTGTTGATAAGCGCAATTGAAAAGAGTCAAAATAAATATCTACAGATGGCCCTGACTTAAGTTCATAATATTATTGGAAATTTCCGGAATTAAAAGCAGAGGCTAAGGATGCCCAAAAGCGGAGGAAATTGGCTCTGTAAAGCTACTTCTGTATTAAGCTAAAAGATAACCATCCGCTCCCAGATGTCTCCTGACCCTGATTACATCGTATCGTCCACACCTGCTTTGACAGTTTGACATCATTACTGCGGCCAGCATTTCCTACTGATCATGACCGAGAACTTCGGGCGTCACGTTTCAAAATATGATTTACAACCGCTCAATATGTTTCATAAAAACTGTTATCGACGGACAACCACAATGGATGCTGTCACACACCAGCTTATTGATATTCGCGGTGCGTGGGAACACAGTCATCTGATGTTGTGTCCTATTCAAATTTCTGACGTGCACTGGGGTGCTTGGGTTGCAGAGATAACATTCTGCAAGAGAATTACTCCACGTGCATAATCAAGATGGATCTGTGGGTGCATCGATCACACACGGGGCCCACTGTCGTCTCTGCTGCGAAGAAGGGAGGGCCGATGCCTGGAACATTCACCGGCTGTATATATTGCCGCTGTAAGGCGGTGTGTCTTGTACTGAGGATGGTGGTGAGGCTGTATCAGCCTATGCTAGTGATGTACACGATGGCCAGAGCAGTGACGAAAGTGGTTACGCCATGTTATATCGCAGCTTGACGCTTCACGGCAAAATATCTGTAGGAGATATCACAGCAAGACGTTTGTTCCCCCCCCCCCCGCCTTGCGGCATTCCATTCGTCTTGAGTGCACTTCTTGAGTGCTTACCATCGATTCAGATTCTATCACACGCTGACGAGTTATCAAAAAAAGAAATCTGCGACACATCCAAAGCAATGCCCTACCGAATAACAGTCTTGAGACTTCGCGATGGCTCCCTAGATAAACACCTTGATGAGGCAATTAAAAAACAAAACAGACTCGAGCAAAGAGCCAGCGTTGGCAGGCTTCCTTCTTGCGAGCACACGGGACGATGCAGGTTGGTTGCACATTTTAATGATGCAACGGTTCCTTGGGTAGTTTTTTTGTTGTTGTGTGAAAACGGCAAGAGTGACTTTTGTCAACCAGATGTGTCCTCACACAGGTGAACCCTGAGCGAGGTGCAATTGTTATCTCGATCGATACATTTCACTTATCGCAGACTTAACAATGTTTGCCAAATAAAACGGTGGTGATCAATAACTGCTATTGGTGTTTGCCTACAGCTCATTGCATTCTGAACCAATCAAGGATCAGTATGTGTCCCTGATCAGTGTTAACATTGTCAAAACCAGCTGTCTTTTGTTGAAAGTTTTTTGATGTACAGTAGCGTATGTGTGCTTGGCACAAAGTGGGATGTATTTGTGTATCATTTCGCGAACCCTCATTATGGTTAAATTGGCTCTGTCAAAAAAGTATACTTAGTCTGCAGTCGATACCACATTGGGAAGTGTGTTAAAATTGAGTTACACGATTTGAGGATACGACAACAACAACAGACAGAGTGAGTTAATAGAAAGCGTGTAAAAAGCACACTGGTAAAAAATTGATTTAACGCTTTCGTGACTGCAGGGTTTCATATTCTTCGTTCTTTCGGTAAAGTCACGTAGAAGGGAAATAATAAAATAATATAAACATAAAACAATAAAAATTCTCACGACGTTTCGACTGCAACACAAGCAATCATCACACCTGATGACGATTGCTTGTGTTGCAGTCGAAACGTCGTGAGAATTTGTATTGTTTTATATTTATAGTATTATTTTATTATTTCCCTTCTACGTGACTTTACCGAAAGAACCAAGAATATGAATAAGCACACTGGTGTTTTGCACATTTTGGCACGATATGAAATAATATATTTTCACATTTTTGTTGCAGCAAATTTCATATCATGTACAATGCAACCACATATCTAAAGTGTATAACTGGGGCAGATCCAAGTCTGGTTATCTTGCAGCAAATACTCATGCGGGTAACCGTCTCCATCTGTCTCAAACAATTGGAAACCATTTCAGGCAACAATTGACGACTGTAACGCTCTGCGGCTATAGCCTTGGAGAGCAGGGCACAGAAGAGGCCAAGGCTCATGTGTCATGGGAGGTTCACGACACAGGGTAGGTGTGTGTGTGTGCGCGCGTGTGTATCTGCCCGTATGTTGTGGATTCTGTTGAAGCGATACAAGCAATGTGCTATGATCTCAGGGACCCGGGTTCAATTTCAGGTCACGAAGCACAACGCAATTGGTATCTAGCTCTCACTTGGTTCCTTGTGAAAGTTTGATGATGCCTCACTGTTACCCTTCCATGATGCCTATGAAGCAGAAACAGCCTCGACAAGAAATGCAATGGCACACCTGTATTTGTGTTGTAATGTACCGTCACGAACGGATGTATTCGTGAAAATGCATCAACGCAACTTCTGGAAATAGTTTTACGTCAAGGGGATTTGAGCTGGGTTTAATTCATTTTTTTTACAATAAAAGTTACATTAATTAAACGTTTTATTGTAGTGTAAATGTATGTTACATTTTAATAACTTTACAGCATTGTATAACTGGGAACATTGTGCTTTCATGCCACACACCTCTTCTTGAACTCAATTTCAACTCGGAAAAAAAAGTCAAATGGTCAGTTGATACACAGTGTTAATGTCCACATTTCGGGAACTCAAAATAACGAGCGTAAACATTATGAAACTTTGCTGACTGATAACACCTATTGGAATCAATAATCTGAAATCCGATAAAAGGGCTGGAAAGAAGCCATCGGCTATCATCGGGAGTGCAGGCGCCGAGCTACAGCTGCTAAGATGACCAAGTTCCTCCTCCTGTTGCTCAATGTGAGCGCATTCGGAGTCATTTATCTCAGCTCTGCCGTGGAATTGCCCAGGCTGCTCTACACCCGCAATGTCGACTGCCAAGTGGGATTCCTCAACGTTCTGCACAATCCCGTGCCAAGGTGGTAACCAATTCTGTGCGAATAACCCACGAGATTAACAACGCTTGCAGACTGCTTTTTAAGAGGCACTCGCCACAAAATTCACCGTCGTGTACTGCTCTAATCAGAGCTTTGGAGGTGGGTTTTGTGGATTGCACACAGGCCATCTTGTGGAAGCAACAAAAGCGGTTCAACACTGACCATTCGCTTGTCACAAACTGTTACAATAGGCCTTGCATTTATCGATCACAGTGTGATGATGATTGTGATTGGCTGAGTCTACAACCAACTAAGAGTTAACTTTCAACCTTCTATGAGCCTGGCATTCAACCTTCTGTGAGGCTGGCATAACCACAATTCCGTGCATAAGAAAATAAAACGTGGTAGAGGTGCAGCCCTGCAATTTCTTGCTCCCACCACTGTTGGTGGAAGGGCCTCCACTAGAGAGAGAGCTCCAGAGAACCCCTTTGGAGGTTATTTTGGCCTACGCCTTGAAAGAGGTGGGAATACTCGTACTGTACCCTACCACACACGAGCTGCCAATCAACTAACTTCGATGTAACCATTTATATTGCTGGATGGACAGAGGCGAGGGCATTTACGAAATGTGCTCATTGGTTTTCAACTGCCAGCGACAGGCAATCCAACCGATGGCCCCTGGATTGCAGATGGAGCATGCTATCCATTTAACGCGTTGGCTTTCGCGACCAATATTATTCACAATAAATGTTTTTTTAGGTTAGATTGCGTAATTATAAGTGTGCCGTTCACCGACCACCGCCCGACACAGACAACTAGTAAGGTTTGTCACGGAAACAAAACGTGCCAATCAGTTACTCCTTCTGCATCCCGGTTGTGTTTGACAATAAACCCACTAAAATGTACAACTTGAGTACGACGTTTCGCTGGTCATTTTCAACCAGCTTCATCAGGCGATTTTGCGGCAATGCTGCAACATTGCACCACGGCAAAATTGAACGCGTGAAAGGAGATCGAGCGCTCAAATGTCCATCTCTTTTGCAGCGCGGACGGCCGCAGCGTGTACGACCTGTCGCTCTCGTGCTTCGCGAGCTTCTCCAAGCACCCGGACAACGTCTCCGCCATCTTTGATGTTGGGCAGAAGTTCCACGACGCTTCCCTCATGACACCCACGCCGATCACGACCCACGTGGCTTGGCCCAACGAAGTCGAACAAGTGCCGGGTAAGGTCAGACCTCCGTGCCTTTCGATCTCTCACGCGACACGGTTGTTTTTGCTCTCATTTATATTCGCTTCATTTGCTGTACTTTGTCTAATTTTATTATATTTTTTCGCGTCACTTTTGGTGATCCAGACTACTCTTGCAAATGAGACTCATGCTGGTCTCTTTGGGTTCTCACACCTGGTTGAACAAAATAAACGCGAAACTTATCTTCACACAGATTCATAATGATTTTGGCACGCCACATCCATCTCGCCATGTTTTGTCCTCATTTGACTCGTAAAAAAATAGATAGATATATAAACCCGTTCACACGATTATATGAATCTATAGTTTATGTGTGGATGCCCCCATCACACAGTGGATTGTAAAATGGCCACACATGCACTTTATCACATTGTCAATTCCAGTCAAGGCTCATCACGTGTCACTTTCACAGCCCTAAACTACCTTCTTGCATGCCGGTCAAACCAGTGATATAGCTATCGAGTTTGCAGGTGTGCAACTGCACCAAGGCCCACTGGAAATTGTATAGGGGGCCTCATTTCATTTCTTACACCAGGACCCATTCCAACCACGCTACTCCACTGGGCCAAACAAAGCATATTCCGTTTTAGAGAAAGCGACTTATGTACCATTAATGTTAAGTATATTCACGCGAAGTGCAAATGTCAATTCTGTTGGGGCAAGTGACCCATTTGAATCCATAAAAAGGTGAGAATAAGTCTTCCAGACAGGCGAAGGCAGTGCTCATTTTTTGCTTGCTTGCCTTGGGGCATGGGGGATGCACAAGTCTCAGAAGTTATCTTGGCATTCTAACATAATTTCTTCACAGACATTAGACCCCTGGGCCACACGGTCATCTAACAGTGGTCCATAATTCCCTTTAAAGTGTGAGCTCGCCGAGGTCAAGAGTACGGGTCAATGTCGAAATTACTTCCCAAGAAATGTCAGGATCAAAAAACCGAAGGCTAAGAGTCCTAAGCTCTCTTTCTATAAACTGCTTTCATGTAGGAAATGAGTGGGTGCATGGCTTATCGACTTCTTGCAGAGTAGCACAGTTACAATCGCAGCTCTCGATCAACATAATGCTAATAACTGAGTACTGCCAAACTCTATGCTGGGCAGAGGTTAAGCGTTGTCCATAAAATGATACGTAAAGTCTCCCTACTCTTTGGTTTTTTCGGTAAAGTCACGTAGGTAGAAATAAAGTCACGTAGGTAGAAATAAAGTCACGTAGGTAGAAATAAAGTCACGTAGGTAGAAATAAAGTCACGTAGGTAGAAATAAAGTCATGTAGGTAGAAATAAAGTCACGTAGGTAGAAATAAAGTCACGTAGGTAGAAATAAAGTCACGTAGGTAGAAATAAAGTCACGTAGGTAGAAATAAAGTCACGTAGGTAGAAATCATTTATTTTATTTGTGACTTTACCAAAATAACTAAAGAGTATGGATTCCTGCAGTCACGAAAGCTTCAAATCAAGATTAAAGTCTCCCTGCTGAAATGAGCAATAGGATGGTCCGTAAATTCCCTAGCCTTGAGCCATCGTCATTAATCATGATCTATCCACTGCTGGATGAAGTGCTGCCCTAGCTCTTGCGATTACCCCCCCCCACCCCCCGCCCTCCATTGACTACTGGTGACTTTCCACAAAGTAGTATCCATTGAAACTAGCATGGGTGAGGGGGGGGGGTGATGGGCTGAGTCAACCCCTGATTTGTGAGTCAAGTACTCTAACGAGAGCACATTTCGGCACCGACCTCTCTACTGACCTTTTTTTTTGCCAAGATAGTGCAGTCCATGACACTGTGGGACAAAGCGAAAAAAATGTAACGCTAAACTCTGTTGGCATTTCATTAACCCACAGTCCACCGCTGCTATTGATCTTCTCAGCCCTTATTTAGCGAGCAGCCTGTAAAAAATAAAGCAGTACCAGTGAAGCGCTGTTCTATAGGATTGATCTCTTAACCTCCTTCAGCACCAGCAATTGTGAGTAATCACAATCCAAACTGACATGTCCAGTGCCCTTGTATTGAGAAACCCGAATGTGAAAAGTACTGCCTGGATTGATGAATGGCACCATACTTTACCTGTGAGTGATTGAGTCGGAATCATTGCATTGCCTTTCGTTATTAAAGCGCATAGCTATAATTTTTATTGGTGCATCCACCTAATTTTAAGCTGTCCAAAGTAAAGCAAAATTCAAGGGTAATTATATGCAACAATTGTGAGGCGATACTTCTTGTATTAAGCAATTCTTTTCGCCATTCCACATTGTTCTGAAAGGGGCAGGGACTTGTTTTTTCACATGAAAATCACTGGTGACTTCGAAAAAAGTGGCAGTTGATTCATTCATTGTGAGGGGATGATTGGCTGAGTTGATGCAGGTCTTTACATCATCTCTTGAAAGTAATGTCTTTGAACTTCCTTACAGAAATTTACAAAAATATATCGTAAAATACAACTTTTTAACTTGCTTTAAAGAATCTTTCACCGCTGCAGAAGGCTTATAATAATCAGTTGGCTGCATGAGTCAACAACATGCAATCAAATCAACATGAGCACACGCAATCTCAACAGATCGTGGAAGCTGATCAGGTTTAAGCCTGGTTATTACTTGGATGGGTCGCCAACAGGGCTTGCCAGGCGTTGCAGGCATGGGGCTCAGAGGTGGCCGGGAGATGTCAGTGCGGAGTGTTACCCCACATATGCGTGATGGGCAGAGGTGGGACAAAGTCATTGCTATGCAAGTCCAAGTCGAGTCTGAAGTCATCAAATTCATGACTCGAGTCCAAGTCACATGACTCGAGTCCACACCTCAGAAGTGGCACAAAGTCATTGTTATGCAAGTCCAAGTCGAGTCTGAAGTCATCAAATTCATGACTCGAGTCTGACTCGAGTCCAAGTCACATGACTCGAGTCCACACCTCAGAGGTGGGACAAAGTCATTGTTATGCAAGTCCAAGTCGAGTCTGAAGTCATCAAATTCATGACTCGAGTCTGACTCGAGTCCAAGTCACATGACTCGAGTCCACACCTCAGAGGTGGGACAAAGTCATTGTTATGCAAGTCCAAGTCGAGTCTGAAGTCATCAAATTCATGACTCGAGTCTGACTCGAGTCCAAGTCACATGACTCGAGTCCACACCTCAGAGGTGGGACAAAGTCATTGTTATGCAAGTCCAAGTCGAGTCTGAAGTCATCAAATTCATGACTCGAGTCCAAGTCACATGACTCGAGTCCACACCTCAGAGGTGGGACAAAGTCATTGTTATGCAAGTCCAAGTCGAGTCTGAAGTCATCAAATTCATGACTCGAGTCCAAGTCACATGACTCGAGTCCACACCTCAGAGGTGGGACAAAGTCATTGTTATGCAAGTACAAGTCGAGTCTGAAGTCATCAAATTCATGACTCGAGTCTGACTCGAGTCCAAGTCACATGACTCGAGTCCACACCTCAGAGGTGGGACAAAGTCATTGTTATGCAAGTCCAAGTCGAGTCTGAAGTCATCAAATTCATGACTCGAGTCCAAGTCACATGACTCGAGTCCACACCTCAGAGGTGGGACAAAGTCATTGTTATGCAAGTCCAAGTCGAGTCTGAAGTCATCAAATTCATGACTCGAGTCTGACTCGAGTCCAAGTCACATGACTCGAGTCCACACCTCAGAGGTGGGACAAAGTCATTGCTATGCAAGTCCAAGTCGAGTCTGAAGTCATCAAATTCATGACTCGAGTCTGACTCGAGTCCAAGTCACATGACTCGAGTCCACACCTCAGAGGTGGGACAAAGTCATTGTTATACAAGTACAAGTCGAGTCTGAAGTCATCAAATTCATGACTCGAGTCTGACTCGAGTCCAAGTCACATGACTCGAGTCCACACCTCAGAGCTGGGACAAAGTCATTGTTATGCAAGTCCAAGTCGAGTCTGAAGTCATCAAATTCATGACTCGAGTCCAAGTCACATGACTCGAGTCCACACCTCAGAGGTGGGACAAAGTCATTGTTATGCAAGTCCAAGTCGAGTCTGAAGTCATCAAATTCATGACTCGAGTCCAAGTCACATGACTCGAGTCCACACCTCAGAGGTGGCACAAAGTCATTGTTATGCAAGTCCAAGTCGAGTCTGAAGTCATCAAATTCATGACTCGAGTCTGACTCGAGTCCAAGTCACATGACTCGAGTCCACACCTCAGAGGTGGGACAAAGTCATTGTTATGCAAGTCCAAGTCGAGTCTGAAGTCATCAAATTCATGACTCGAGTCTGACTCGAGTCCAAGTCACATGACTCGAGTCCACACCTCAGAGGTGGGACAAAGTCATTGTTATGCAAGTCCAAGTCGAGTCTGAAGTCATCAAATTCATGACTCGAGTCTGACTCGAGTCCAAGTCACATGACTCGAGTCCACACCTCAGAGGTGGGACAAAGTCATTGTTATGCAAGTCCAAGTCGAGTCTGAAGTCATCAAATTCATGACTCGAGTCCAAGTCACATGACTCGAGTCCACACCTCAGAGGTGGGACAAAGTCATTGTTATGCAAGTCCAAGTCGAGTCTGAAGTCATCAAATTCATGACTCGAGTCCAAGTCACATGACTCGAGTCCACACCTCAGAGGTGGGACAAAGTCATTGTTATGCAAGTACAAGTCGAGTCTGAAGTCATCAAATTCATGACTCGAGTCTGACTCGAGTCCAAGTCACATGACTCGAGTCCACACCTCAGAGGTGGGACAAAGTCATTGTTATGCAAGTCCAAGTCGAGTCTGAAGTCATCAAATTCATGACTCGAGTCTGACTCGAGTCCAAGTCACATGACTCGAGTCCACACCTCAGAGGTGGGACAAAGTCATTGTTATGCAAGTCCAAGTCGAGTCTGAAGTCATCAAATTCATGACTCGAGTCTGACTCGAGTCCAAGTCACATGACTCGAGTCCACACCTCAGAGGTGGGACAAAGTCATTGTTATGCAAGTCCAAGTCGAGTCTGAAGTCATCAAAT